TAGTTGCTTGGTAAGTATCTAGAAAATTTCTGCAATTGAAAGTAGTTTAGTTTTCTGTTGCAGCTGAAACCTACTCAAGGAGCTGGGGCAAAACTTGCTTTTTTCACATGTCTGAAAGGAGTTTGGGTAAATGATGATCTGCATTTGATTTAAGTTTTCAGGAAAGTCTCGAACTCGAGGCCCTTGCTCTGTCTTTCATTTTCTGCAATACTGCATACAGCTAGACAAAACATCAAGAGTTTATGTCCCATTTTTGCATTTTGCATTATAGTATTTATCAAAAAAAGAAAGTGTACTATAGCAGACATTGTAATTTCTAATGGTCATATAAATCCTAATAAATTAAAGGAATAAATTTCGTATATGTATATATGAATCAGTTTTTTACTCCATCTCACAGTATCAAGTAATCTCTATGGCAGAGCCTTCTTGCGGGTGGCAGTGACCCAACAACGACAGCTATTATATGGGCACTAGCTTTGCTACTAAACAACAGAAATACGCTTAAAACAGCTCAATGTGAGCTTGACACCCACGTTGGAAAGCACCGCCAAGTGGCCGAGACAGAAATAAAGAACCTTGTATATTTGCAAGCCATTGTCAAGGAAACATTCAGACTACACACACCAGGACCACTCTCAGCACCAAGGGAAGCCATGGAGGATTGCACTGTAGCTGGCTTCTACATCCCAGCAGGCACGCGCCTTGTGGTTAACCTCTGGAAGTAGCATCGTGACCCTAACATGTGGGCTAACCCATTGGAATTTCAGCCTGAGAGGTTCCTGAAAGAGCATGCCGATTTGGATGCAAGGGGCCAGGACTTCGAATTCACACCATTCGGTTCTGGAAGAAGAATGTGCCCTGCGGTGTCATTCGCTGTCCAGGTTGTGCACCTGACACTTGCTCGGCTTCTTCATGGGTTTGAATTGAGGACAGTCTCGGATACCCCAGTCGATATGACTGAGAGCCCTGGGTTGACAGTCTCCAAAGCAACACCATTGGAGGTTGTCCTCAGGCCGAGGTTACCTTCCATCGCTTACGAATTCTAAGCAGCAAGCACAAGGAGATCATTGTGTAATCCCTTATAAAAATATGTCAAACAAAGGTAGAATAAAGGCAGGAAGTGTTTTTTATTGCCAATGTATTGCGATAACTGTTGAACTGATCTTATAGTCAAGTTTTTATTTCGTGGTTTTTAATTTACTATTGTCTATTTTTATCAACTATATCATTTGGTGCGTTTTTTTTCGAACTTAAAAATTTCAGGGGAAACAAATTTGTACAGAAGTACTGGCAGAAAGCTGAAATTGGAAAAAGCAGACAAGAAAATTGTTTGCATCTGGTCACCATCAGCTAGACTTAGCTCCCTTGTCCCTTGTGGCCATAATTGAATCAAAGGGAGTGGCAGAGCAATAAATATTGACGATAGTGAATATGCATGAACAGAAAGATAGTAGTAATAATAATATGCTCATTATAAAATCTCTTTGTTATCATTTTATATAATTAAAAATCAACAATGTTTTCATAGCTTATTATGATGGGATTATAGGCATGCCATCACGAACTCTATTTTCTAGAACATCTTATCACCAGTCTTCAACATCATAAGTAGCTTCGCACCTTACGAAACCTATCTTATGATAACAATGATTTTTCTTCAATTTGAATGTAAGCTTTCAATTTTGATAACCACATGATAAATCTTTTTTTTCAAAAAAATCTCATTAAAGAAAGGAACTTCATCAGAAAAAGTTCGTTAGTTCTTTGTGTATACATCCATGATGGTGCTTAATTTATGAATCTATTATGTGCAGATCAGGAAGAATCGGAAATCATCACTAGTTTTAAAAAATCTTCCCACATTAGCAAAGGCGTCATAAGGAACTACGAATTCAGCGCGTTAAGCCAGCATAGCAGGGATGTCCAGCCCAAAAACTCCTTCATTCATGACTATCTTGCAGGAACATATATAGTAAGCATGATCTACTGGTGAGCCTTTACGAAATGGTAGTAGATAATTTTATTATTTTCAATGTGTACTTACAGCTCTTATAATAAGCATGCACAGTGTTATTTTGGCGAGCCTTTACAAAAATGCAATCTTGAAGGTGTTTGTTAAGTTCTAATTATTGCAATTCTTGCTGATTTATGCAGTAAATCCGCTAATAGGTGTCCGCAAGAAGATTCTGAATGCTTCAGACTTCAGATTTGTGACGGAAACATCCGCTAACAGGTGTCCGCAAGAAGATTCTGAATGCTTCAGACTTCAGATTTGTGACGGAAAAGAGTGACGGCGGACAACAATTTGGTGGGAGGAAATATTTGCGTGTTTGAGCTGATGAGGTTGGGGAAGAAGGATGCACCGAGGGCTTTTATAGAGGGTGTTTATTGAAGTACATTTAGGGGCTTATCAGAATGCGGCAATCGTTGATGTTTCAGCCCGAAGACAGTCTCTTTTTAGGGATGCTATTTGGGCTTGGTGGGTCTGATTTTTGGTCTGCTTTAAAATGGGCCTAGTCCTGGGCCTGGATTCTTTTCATTTATTTAATTGAATTGGAGACCATGGTGCTTGGACTGTTCAATTTGATTTCCCTGGCTGGCATTTAGAGGTGCACATTGTTTCCTTATCCATCCTCTCACGTTCTTTTCCATACAAAGTCAAGTTTCCATCTCCTTCCTTTCCAATCATATTTGTAATATTTCCAACCCGACAAACACCACCGAAAAAAAAAGGTAACTACATGCATATTCCTCTGTAAGGCATACGACACTTATTTCATTAAATTATATAGTAATTAGTAGTAACTTGTAAGTTCTGTTTCTGGTGTACAAGGGGTGATTGTGTGTTTCTGTTTCTCATCTTATATATTGCAGGTTTTGGGTCAATGGCAACAGCCTCAGCAACGCTTTCTCCAGCAACACTTGCTGCTGCCACAGTTAGCAGTCCTGAGAGGAAGCAAATCAAAGTGAACTACATAATGGGACTGGATTCTTTTGGTGGGCTAAAAGCTCACAACAATGTGAGTTCATTAGGCTTGCCAGTATGCGCTGAGCAGTCCTTTGCAAAGGTGGTCAGCTCATTGAGAGCTCCATCAAAGGGTAAAGGCAGAAGTGGGGGTGCACTCTCTTCAACCTGCAGTGATGTTGGTGAGATATTCAGGATAGCAGCAATCATGAACGGGCTTGTTCTTGTTGGAGTTGCAGTGGGATTTGTTCTTCTTCGAGTCGAAGCTTTTGTGGAGGATATTGAATGAGAAATTTTAGCCACTATAGCCAGTTTCTTGGTTGGTTGTTGTTTTGTTAATCAAGGATATTGTTTGTACCTTAACTTCTTTGTTAATTAAGGATATTTCTTGGATGTCTAAACCAAACCAGCAAACTGAGTTTCAACACGAAACTTTATAAAAAATATTAATAAATTTTTTTTTTTTTAAACAGAAGAATAAAAGGTGAAAAATGTAGTTCTTGTCGTGTCACGATAACAGGTGGTTGTGGTTTTAAACAGGACACATATATACAATGAGTATTGCAACACTCTTCAAATCATGAGCAATTGACTTGTTTTTGAGAGAGATGATGATGATGAAGGGTTGCTTGTTGACAGTGAGAGGAGTTGTGGGGGAGATATTGAAGGCTTATGGTGATTGGACATGATAAATTTGATGTGGGCTTTGAGATAAATGGTGCTGGAGAGTTGCTTGTGGACAGCGGGAGCATTCGTGGGTGAGACAACGGAGGCTTGTGGTTGTTAGGCATAATCTGATTCAAATGAGGAAAAAAATTTCAATGGATTTAATTTTGATGATGATGATGATGGAGGTTTGCTTGTCGACAGTGGGAGGAGCTGTGGGGGAGACAACGGGGGTATGTGGTGATTGAGTATGATCTAATTAACGTGGAGTTTTGATTTTGATGATGTTCTGTTGAAGGGACAGGGACAGACACGGAAAATGCACTGTTTTTTTTTTCCTGATAAATAATTTTTTGCCCATTAAGATCTATTTTACCATTTTATTAAACAACTATATTTTGTATCCTTTAATTTAATTTTTTTATAAAAAAACATTTTTCTATGGAAAATTTACATTTGCATCAATCTCTTTTAATTTTATTCCCTGCAAATTCTCTTTTCTCAACCAAATTCACTCCACTTATTTTTCTTTTCAACCATAATTTATCCAATTTTTTTTTTTAATAAAATCCCTTTCATACGAACAATTTCCCCAAAACTCATTTCATAAACATCAATCCCTTTGAGACAAATAATGTAATGTTTTGAATTAAAAAAGATAAGAAAAGTCAATAAAGCCTTTGAAAGCTTAAAAATGAATATAAATAAATAAGGGATATTATAATAATTGAACAAAGAGTTGAGAAATATAAATAAAAAAATAAAATAAAAAGAGAGAGAATACAGTGAAAAACCAAAAGGAAAGAAAAAAGAAAAGAAAAGATAAGGAAAGAAGAATAAAGTTGGAGAAAATAAATTTAAAAGTAAGATTATGTATATATGTGTGTTAATTAAATTTTAAATTTTTATTTTGATAAATATTAGGGTTTTGAAAATTTTGTTTTGAATTTGATTGATGAATTAATTAGAATGTTATGGATTAATTTTAATGAGTAATGAATTAATTAGTTGATTTTGAAAGATTGTAAGTAAAGATGAAAATATTAAATTATAATTTTATTTAAATAGTAAAATTATGTTAGAAATTAGGAGATAACACTAGGTGACTATGCAAATACTGAGAAAACACTTAATTATGGAAAATGTCAAAAATGCTACTAAGGAATTTGTCAATTATTCTAAGAAATTACAGAAAATGAGTTTGAGCCTTACAAAACACTAGGAATATAAATGTAAAGAGGGATGTTCTATTGCTAGGGAATCATTAAATTCATCTAAGAGTATTTAAAAAATATATTAATTTGATATTTTTTAAATAAAAAACAGTTTAAAAAAGTTAGAAAAACATATTAAAAAAAAACGCTAAGATACTGGATTTGTGTAGGTGACTTTTACTGTATATTTTTTATGATCACCCACCCCGTGGAAATTCTGTATATTTTTTGTTTTTTTACAGAGAAGACTAGTTGAATAAGATAGAAGTGCCAAACCATATAAAACCCCACCATCAGTTGTTAGGATACTGGCATGCAAACCCGACAAGACAAAAGGTAAGGGACAAGATAAAATGAGAAATGACACACAAGAATTTACGTGGTTCACCCAATTTGGCTACGTCCACGGGCAAGTATAGAAGAATTTTACTAAGTAATGTGGGAATACAACTTCTCTCTAATAATAGGAGAACAACAAAAATCTCTCTATTATTAAGAGAAAACACCTCACTTACTATCTCACAAATACCTCACAATTTTGTGGGATTACTCTCTTCTCACCCTCTCTTCTTTCTCTCTTATGGTGTGTCTATAATGCTTGAATGCATTGCCTATTTATAGGCAAACATCCATGCAAAAGACAAGAGCAAGGTAGGTGGCACCAAATTTGTGCCTAACATTGTTGACAAACATTGTTGATTTTGTCAACAATGTTAGGGTCCAAATTTATGCCTAACAATGTTGACAAATTGGTGCCTAACATTGTTGACAAATTTATGCCTAACATTGTTGACAAACATTGTTGATTTTGTCAACAATGTTAGGGTGATTTCACATTCTCCCACTTGAAGACTTTGATGAGTTAATCAAGTCTTCACACTTGATTATCTATGCTTCTTCTATCCTTTCTATACTTGCAATCTTCATGCTGCTTACGTTTCTGCTAGGCCGTAAGAGGATCTGCACCATATATACTTATCAGTGTTAACCGGTTTTGTCAAAGCATCTGCTGGGTTTTCCTTTGTGTGAATCTTCTGAAAATCCACACTTCCATCTTCCACCACTTCACGAACAAAGTGATATTGAACATCTATGTGTTTTGTTCTTGAATGAAACGCTGGATTCCTTGCAATATGCAAGGCACTTTGACTATCACAATACAAAAGAATATTCTCTTGTTTGTGCCCAAGCTCCTCCATAAGTTTCTTCATCCATATTGCTTCTTTACAAGCTTGTGTAGCTGCCATATACTCAGCTTCTGTTGTGGATAACGCTACAACAGTCTGAAGTTTAGAAACCCAACTCACAGCTCCTCCTGCAATTATGAACACATAGCCTGTAGTGGACTTCCTTTTCTCAAGGTCACCAACAAAATTTGAATCAACATAACCTCTGATAGTAAATTCTGATCCTCCATAACATAATGCAGCATCTAAGGTACCCTTGATGTATCTCAAGATCCTCTTAATAGTATTCCAATGCTCTCTACCAGGATTTGCCATGTATCGACTAACTGCTCCCACTGCTTGTGCAATGTCTGGTCTTGTACATATCATGGCAAACATTAAACTTCCCACTACTGATGCATACGGTACTCGAGACATCTCCATCCTCTCTGCTTCATTGCTAGGAGACATACTTGAGGATAATTTGAAGTTAATAGGAAGTGGGGTGGAAATTGGCTTACAATCTTGCATGTTGAAGCGTCGCAAGATCTTCTTCAAATAATTCTTTTGAGAAAGCCAAATCTTCCTCTTACTTCTGTCTCGGTAAATTTGCATCCCTAGAATCTTGTTTGCTGGTCCCAAGTCCTTCATATCAAACTCCCTAGCCAACTGTGCCTTCAATTCTTGGACTCGATCTTTGTTGGGGCCTATCACCAACATGTCATCCACGTACAACAACAAAATGATGAAATCTTCTTCAAACCTCTTATAATACGTACAATGGTCTGAACTGAGTCTGTTGTACCCAAGGCTAATTATGAAGGAATCAAATCTCTTATACCAACACCTCGGCGCCTGTTTGAGACCGTATAGAGATTTGTTCAACCTGCAAACCAAGTTCTCCTTACCTGTTTCAGCAAAACCCTCTGGTTGGAGCATATAAATTTCTTCTTCAAGTTCTCCATGAAGAAATGTAGTTTTCACGTCTAACTGCTCCAAGTGAAGATCAAATATAGCACACATTGACAAGACTACTCTGATTGTCGTAAGTCGTACCACTAGAGAAAATATCTCATTGAAGTCTATTCCTTCTTTCTGAGCATATCCTTTCACCACCAATCTTGTACGATACCGCTCCACTTGATCATTGCCATCACGTTTTATCTTGTAAACCCATTTGTTGCCAATGGCCTTTCTTCCTTGTGGTAGCGGAACAAGATCCCAAGTATTATTCTTGTACAGAGCTTCAATCTCCTCTTGCATTGCTGTCATCCACATAGACACATCTGTGCTTTTAATAGCCTCATGGAAAGTTGATGGCTCTCCATCATCTGTTAGAAGACAGTATGCAATGTTACTTTCAGTAACATATTCTGAGTGCCAAGCCGGTGGTCTTCTTTTACGAGTCGACCGCCGAACTTCAGGAGTTTCAGACTCTATTTGTTCTTGCTCTTCATGCTCTGGTACAGCTTCAGAAAAAGCATGATTCTGAGTATTTTCCACATGGACTGCTGTAGTCTCTTTTAGAATGCTATTATGTTCTTCCATTTGTATTTTACCTTCTGCAAATATGACATCTCTACTGATCACTACCTTGTGGGTAGTGGGATCCCACAAGCGATACCCCTTCACTCCATCAGCATATCCCAAGAATACACATTTTCTGGATTTTGAATCCAGCTTGCTAACTTCTTGTGTATTGTACATCACGTACACAAGACTTCCAAATATATGCAATCGAGAATAGTCAGCTGGTTTTCCAGTCCACATCTCCATCGGTGTCTTCAACTCAATTGCGGTTGATGGAGATCGATTTATCACATAACAGGCGGTATTGACTGCTTCTGCCCAGAATGACTTTCCTAGACCTACAGCCTTCAACATTGCTCTTGTTCTTTCTAATAGAGTTCTGTTCATCCGCTCTGCCACTCCATTTTGTTGTGGAGTGTATACCGTTGTGAACTGCCTTTTGATACCTTCATATTGACAGAAGTTATCAAATTCATCACTGGTATATTCTCATCCATTGTCAGTCCTCAAACACTTGATCTTCTTTTCAGATTCAAGTTCCGCCAGCGCTTTGAAAGTTTTAAAAACTGTAAGCACATCTGCCTTCCTTCTAATTGGATACACCCAACATCTCCTGGAGAAGTCATCTATGAATGATACAAAGTATCTTGCTCCTCCCAAGGATATAACCGGTGCTTGCCATACATCAGAGTGAATCAGGTCTAAGATGCATTTGCTCTTAGTTGTTGATGTGCCAAACTTCAACCTGTGTTGTTTACTTGTAACACAGTGCTCACAAAAAGGTAAAGTAACCTTTGTAAGCCCAGGGAGTAACTTCTGATCAGAGAGAACCT